TTTTTTTTTTTTTTTTTTTTTTTTTTTTTTTTTTTTACCAGGGTGCCACACGCCACAGATTGAACATTCACAGCTCTTACTTGCCTGCAAGGCTCTTGCCGGCATCATCTTCTCCGGATCTCAGATTTGCCGCGATGCCTTCTTCAGGTTCGGCAGAACTTGCCACAGTCGCTGCAGCTTTTGCTGAAGAAAGCTGCTCTTCCTTGGATCCATTTAGCATTGCAACCTTTTCAAATTCCACCTGAATGAGCTGCGCACACACCTTCATGCGTGCCTTTTGAATTCCTTTAGACTGATAGAGCACCTTCAAATCTTCAAAGCCAAGATTCAATTCACTGCAAACCAGGAAACCGGTTTCCCTATGAAATGCCCTCGGTGAAATTAAACAGCATGGGGTTCTACGGAGTACAGGAGCCACGGCTGTCATTGAGATTGGCTGAAGCGAGAGCAAAAAGCGAAACCTTCTGAAAGCCCACACACCCACACACGATCTTTGCTGTCAAGGGGCATATTGGGAATGTAGCCACTTGACAGTATAGCCGTCAGATCCGTCCACTGTGAAGAAGGGAAGCACCCGCTCAAGCAAGCTGTCCAGACTCACCTCCTCAAAGAGGGTTTCTTGGATTGCAGCAGTTTGTAAACCAACTCACGGGCAGTATACATGCGGCAGCATTGCGTCACGAACTTTGAGCACTCTCTCCTCTGCGGTCTTCACCTCCAGAGTTGCGTGATATGCTTCTCCCACTTCCAAGCCGCGCATCAAGCGCTGCACCTTCAGCAAGAGCGGCATATACTTGATTAATCTTTAGCTTCTAACGACACTCCAAAGCCTGTCAAAACAGTGCCCGAATCCAGCCTCAGGCGTCAGCTCGTTCGCACGCCCACGTGCAATGGGCGAGCATCTCTCGCCGTTCACCTGCACCGTCAAGTCTTGCAGATCTTGCAGGAGCAGGTGCATATTCAGCAAGCCATTACAAGCGGGTGTACATGAGCTAAGCTGGAGCCAAGGTGCATGCAAGAAAAGCATGCGCTGACGTGCTAGTGGACCCTGGCCGCAGTGGGCAGACAGATATGGGAGCTCATGACTTTTGACAGGGGTTGTGGCATGAGTGTAGCTCCGCAGGCCGGGTCCTCACCAATGCAGAACTCGAGTAATGCCCATTGCACTGTGGAGTCGTCAATCCTGGGTTGACTTATCCACGCATAACGCAATGAAGTCAGTCGATGCTGAGTTCAGTGAGCTCGCTGAATCCATGCATGCAAGGTCATCAAGGGCAGGAATCCATAACTGAAGCTCGGCAATGCCACCGCTGCCAGCGCCGAGAACCACGACCGGCAAATCCGCATCCATCAGTGCAACGACTTGTCGAGTCTCTTTAAATAATGCCAGGCTTCAGCTTTAAAAGGAACGTCGTTGCACAGGCTTTCAAGGCACCCTACTGATCTGCTGGCCGAGCTTATGAAGACAAAACACACAGAGTCTGCGCACACGCCTTTTGATGCAGCCGTGTTGACCGACAATTTCTAATGATGCAGCTGGCCCAGGCGAAGGTGCATACAGTCCAACAACGCAGAAACGTCAAACGGATCAAAAACGCCACATGAAGCACCCCCCAGAGCCGCATATGTGAGTAATCAGACATGTATAGACATGTTTTACGTTTTTCCCCAACAGGGTCCCAGAGCATAACAGTGTGAATTGTGACCCGAAGCCTCGCAGCTTAGCGCGCTGGTCAGCGCAGCATCTGGCTGCGGAGGTAATGGGCCTGGCGGTTAAAACAAGGAAGCACCCCCACCTCCGTAATAATCATAAAGATAGTAACCATAACAATCACTAACAGTAGTACTAATAAATCTGGTTTAGGCATGTTTTAACGCTCCACTGTGTATGGTGGTCCTATGTTGGGGGGGTTATAAGGAGTCTGGGCGGGTACACTGGGGTGAGGGAACTAATTAATCAGTAGTGCAGGGACCCAGATGTTCACTGCGTCATTCCGATCTGATCTGTGGATGCTACATTCGCAAAAGGTGTGTATTTGTATGTATACGTACATGTAATAAGTGGGCGGGTGTCACTTCAAACTAAAAGCTCGGTCGAGCATGCTTGTAGGCTCTTGGCAGCCCATGGTACTTTGTCTCTCGAATGGGGCGCCAGCCCAGGTCGCACTCGCCAGAAGACGTGTCGTCTTCCTCAACCTTGGACTTCATTGAGTTTCAGTGCCTGAATGACAATCTGTGCTTCTTGGCTGGTGAACCTTTTGCCCAGTTGTGACTTTTGATCCCATGGCTCGCGATAGGGAAACGAATCCAGTTTCAATTCTAAGGATTGTTGGACTTCTCTCGCAGTATTTTCGAGCCCTGTCTACTAAGGCGTTACAATTAACAAGTCTGACATGCGTGCATGACCGCATGGATGTGCGGTGGCTCAAGCCTTGAAGCCCTGCGCGGGAAATATGCATCAAGCTGCAGGCTGTAGAAATGCGCGTGACGCAGGGATGCATCAAATCGTCCCAGGGGCAAGTGCTTTTTGCAACAGGGAACGCTGATTCAGAAATTCAGAAGAGTCCAAAGCAAAGGCAGAGAGGCAATTCTTTGCCTGTATGAAAGGTCGCTCTCTCCCAACTTGAATTCTTTGCACCCTGCAGAGGCCAAGCATGTCCGCACCCGGCAAGAGACAATGCAACTTCAAGACTCATTTCCTGTGCATTGCAGCGACGTCTCAGACGCAGGTTGTTGGCAGCCACAGGGCACCTAGGGACGTTAGAAACGGATCTACGATGCCGACATGTTGTTGCCAGCATACTACTCGCAGGCGGCAAGCGCATCAACTTCAGAGTTTCAACGGCTTACACTTGCAAAGTAGGCTGTTTTGAGCTAGCATTTGTAGCTGACCTTGAATGCCATGCAATGCCCTTTCAGACTTGCTCGCCTGGGATGTGTAGGAGCTTTACAACAGGAGCCTACAACTCCTCGAAAGATCTGCAGGCTAGCCAGCAGTTCATAGAGTGCTCTACCCAGAGCTGTCACAACCTCGCAGGAGCAATAGCAGGACCGCGCATGAAGCGTTTTCTGAATTTCAGGCAGTTGCTCACGGCAACGAAAGTCCCCCCAAGTTGCCTAAACAACAAATGCAGCCGGTACACGCGAAGAGCTCAGTTCAGCTGCCAGCAGTTGTAGGAGCCATCTTCCTGATGTCTCAAGTGGTTTGATACGGAAGGCCGAAAGAAAGCATGCCAGTGTATGAGTCTGTGATTCTGCCACAAGGCCTGCACAAACAAGCGAAAGCAACTCTGTGGAGAATGAGGCAAGGGACGGTAGTATCTGCGATGATGCCCTCCGTGTCTCCGGACCGTGGTGTGGCTGTCTGCAAAATTCCACAGGGTACAGGTACAGTAACAACTCCAGAGCTGATCCCAGGTTCGACGAATGTTCTTCAAATGTCTTGTAATTGTAGCTTGGGTAGAACACCACATGTGCTGTGCTGCCTTGCTTGCCATGCACTTGAATGCATTGAATACAGTCTGATCGCGCCTTTGCTTGTACCTCCGGCTGCTTGGACAAGTGGTGGACTGGCAAGGCGCGAATCTGCTGCCAAACATCCTCCAAAGACAGGTGCATGAGAAACATCTGCCTTTCAACATCTTTCAACACGTTAATTTTGGTCCTTGCTTTTGTCTACTGCACGAGAAGAGCAAGGAGAACTCATTGTGAAGTTGAGGGTCTGTGTTTTGCACTGCTTTCATTGACAATACAGTAAGCTTGACATGGCGAGTACACATGCTATGTGTCCTCGCGCGGAGTGTCTGGCAAGCCCCATCCTCCAGGAATAGCGGTGCTGGTTGGGTTGACATTCTTGGTGGTCAGAACCTCAAGTACTGGTTGGTCCCACAAACGTAGTCTCTGTAGCTTGTCTGTTGCCACTGATGCATGCTTGCCGAGGCGCCTCGCAAATCCCACCACGCTTTAGCTGCGCTCCCATAACGCCGTCTGTAAGGGCCAAAGTGCGGAGGAGCTGTTGACAGGCAGTGTCCTTGGAGTCGGCTGCACTCGAAATGCCGTGCTTGAAATGTGCATTGCACAAGGAATATTTGGTAACCGGATTGCCTTGCCAAGACCTGTTATTGTCTGCTTGTTGCCAAATTCCCAATTCCGTGCCATTAAGCTCATTAAATCATTAACTCAAAGCTGAGGATCGGTGCGCAGCTTGGTGGGGAAGCTCACGAAGCCATTGCCATCTTTGTCCAAACAGCGGCCGTGCCCCATGAAGACGGGCACGCCTCTTGCATTGACCTCAGCAAACTCGCGCTGCGAAGTCTGCTTGCCCCATCGAGCAAGAAGATCGCTGGAATGCTACACTAAGAGCATGGACCTTGTGTTCGACGACGGCAGCTGCGCCGACAGAGCCCGCGGCAGCCATGTCTCTGGTCATGCAGACGTCGAACACGCAGAACCTGGAATTGCTGCTACATGGGGCTGCAGAGATTCCTGCATGGTTGCTCTCATTAGCCGATTGAACCCAGCGACTTGTGAAATGAAGCTTGCAGTCCATTGCAAGCAGCCTGCAGGAGTAGCCACGACATTCCACGACTAGCCCAGCATGCCCTCATGCAGTGCTTTCTCCGCTGCTCACGGCAGCGGGTGGCATGCCGCTAGCACTAAGCACAGATGCATACTCGGGCGGCCTCCGCCTTTCCCAAGATGGTTGGTGGGCACTCGGTGACTCGTTTCAACTTCGCGGCAATGGCCTCTGCCTCCGCGTGACTTGCAATACACAAAATTTCGCACCTTCTTCATATTGACATGCCTCCAGTGCCGGAAGCACATACATACTTTGGGCTTTGGAAGAAGACTGCCTCGCTCATGGATTTGTGCTCTTTCGCGGACTCCCCAAGCAAGGCTACAGTCAGGTCTTCAGGGAAAAGCGACATTGCCTGGCGTGTCGCAGGCAAAGTGAGCTGGCTGGAATCTTCATGTGACCGTGCGCGCCTGAGGTATAGGCTCCAGATTGGCACCAATAGGGCGGTCCCAAGAAGGGAGGATGGGCTCCGCATCATCATCCGGGTCAGAGTTGAAATTTCCGCAGTACCCGCCCTGGCCTCCTGCCTCAGTGCTTGACCATTTTACCGGTTAACTGTTGCGTCCTGGTTTTGAACGTTGACAGAATGCACGTGCACTGGGGCAATGCCAGCCTCGGGAGGTGCAGAGATCACCAAAGACATGAAGTCAACGCCCGTCACCGAAACGGCAATGTTTCTCGGCAGTTTGAACCTTAGTCCGAAAGTGACCACTTAAAGGATGTTCTCGAGATGAGATGGCCCGCTGAAACGCTATCAGCTTAGGATGGAACATGTAAATGCCCGTCTGGGGTAGGGTCACGAATCTCTCTGGAAACGTTCCAACGGCGAACCTGAGTTAATTGGGAGGTCTTATTTCATAGGGTAGCTCAGAATGCTTGCATGCATGTGACTGCTGCACAGCTAGCTCTGCGCTTCAACATCCGTTGGATGCGAGCGCTAGGCGTTGCGATTGGAATGCTCTGCTCTCAAGTCTGAAGTCCGGAGGCCCCTCCAACAAGCTTTTAGAGGACCTGCAAGCAACACCAAATTCACCCATGGCACTGCATGTGTGTGCGTAGATTCAGAATGCGGTCGTCGAAGACATCTGCATCCCAAGACTGGCGTCGATAAGCGTCCAGCACTCCAGGCTGCTCTTCGAAGTGGAACTCGCTCACATCATCCTTTGAGTGGGCCAGTTGAATGTGTATGGCTGTTGCAAGATGTCTTCTCACTCAGCCTGACCTGCTAGCTGCAGATGCTTTATTAAACTTTATTACCTCCTCGGTTTCGACATTCGGTAGGTCCTGCAAGATCAGCTCGCCATCCCATGTAACTTTCAATGGGCCGTCGAGAGCTTCTTTCCATACGACCAACGTATGCCCGAACAGGAAAGGTCCACCAGCCGCGAAACCCAGAAGTCTGCCCTGTCGGGCACGCTAGCTTGCATGCACATGGCAGCTCGTCGCTTCTTGACTGCATGGCCGCTTCTTGCCCGCTTGCTAATCGCCTTGCCTGACTTCCCTTGGACAGAGCTTGAAGCCAAACAGCATTGCCCTTCACCATCCATTGCACCATGTCACCAACCTTGGTTTACAAAGCTTCCAGCTGCTTCTGTCAGGCTTAGCCGCCTCTCTTAAGGGCAAGACTCTTCTGCCCCGAACATGATGCAAAGCAGTGGCGCAGCATTTTAAAATTTGTGCAGCCAAGGTGCAAAAGTTGTCTGGGCACCATCGAAGGTGATGTAGTGTGGATCGCCAAACGCCGCACAAAGCCCGGTTCCTTCCTAGGTTGCAGCACACATCCCGTAACACGGTGGACACCGGACTGTCGATATGCCGGAGCGCCTGCCCGTCCTTGCCAAAGCCGTTTCCTTTGGAGCAATTGCAGCAAGCGCCCACCTGCCGTCCAAGCAAAGGTTCATGAAGAAGAGTATACTCTCTGTGCTGCCGGGGGCCAAAGGCCGCAAAGGCTGCTGCTAAAACAGCGGCCTTACCCTGCAAGTCGGTCATCATGGCCGTCATCTCCTCTTTAAATGTCCTGAGTTGCTGCATCCTGCAGCTTTACTGGAGAAGCATGCCGGCTGAAAAAGTCTTGCACACACGTTCTGCATCGTTTTGCAGTTGCCATGCTTACGTACCTAAGGACTTTCAGTTGGATACAGCTCAGGTGCCGGATCTCATCCAACACCTTGGAGGGAATGGCATAAACTAGCAACGACAGTATCCAGCTGTTGCGCCAAGCTCACTCATGCCATTGTTGAATTCTGCTGGGGCACTGGGCTGTCAGCGTGAGATGAAGATCCCTGCAAATGTTGCGTGACTTTTCTGTCTGTCATGCCATGTTGCAACTCTGGTCCGGCACTGCGTCCGCTACAATGCTGCACTCATGAGTTGTTCGCTTGCAGTAGCTTATTCACCTTGGTGAGGGTGCCGGTCTTTGTCTGCATCAGCAAGACACCTCCCGTTGACACAGAGCTTTGCAAGTGTCTCTCAAACATTTTAAAACCCTTCTTTTAGCGCGTCATACACCTGCTGTTCAAAGTTCCGGCACGTGCCTGGAGCCTTGCCCTCCTTCTTGCTCTTGCACGATGCATCTGGCGCAGCGATTGCCGAGGTGACGAGCAACAAAGCCTTAGCAAACCACTTGCTTGATGCATAGCAGAACATTGGGATTCATAACTCGCGCATTCATGTGCGTCCGGCATTCTCTAACTGCCTGCCTTCCCGTACCGTCTATGTCTGATGAGGGCCTGTTCACTTTTCCTGACACAAGCCAGGAAGCGATCGCTCCACGCATCGCCATCACTGGCATGAAATGCAGCTCAAAATAGAACGTTGAGATAAAGCTCTTGAGCCCCAATGGCGACCACTGTTCTGCCGGCAACCCTTGCTGATGCATTTCACATGTGCAACACTTCACCTCGCAGCCTCTGAGCTCAAGTTTCCATGGCCACCTTCATTCCAGATTCTGCTAGGACGCAAAATGACGCAAATGCAACACAAAGCTGAGCAGATTCCATTCTTTTGTTTTGCTTTCTCCTGCTCTCCAATGGAGCGATTGTGCCCCGTCTCAGCGCCTGAATACGCGCAGACTTCAGAAGCCCTGCTTCGGCCAAGATGCGGTCTGTCAGTGTGTCCTGGGTGACCCGGACTTCCTGCATAACGGACAAGAGTCCCTCTACTTGACTGACCTCATTGCACTTGGCGAAGCAGGATAACAAAGTATTAAATGTCACCACGGAGGGAGACATCTGGCTGAGCACAAACTGTAGGAGGCTTACGGCACGCTTCCACTCTGTGGCCCTACTGCAGGCTTCCATAACCGCATTGCAAAGTACTATGTCTGGCTGGCTCGGCAGCGTCAACAAGTGCATTGCTTGTTGCCAGTCACTGACATCTGCACATCCGCTTACAATGTCCGTGATTGGCATGGATGTCAAAGAAAACTGCTCAGACATTTCGCCTAGAATCTTCAATGACATCTCGATCTGATGAGCGCGTGCGCATGCTCCTATTGCTGCCCTGTAGATATGTGTGTTCGTAGGAATTTGGTCTTTCTGGCCCAGCATGCCTAGTACTTGCTCAGCTGCCCTCCAGTCTTCATCTATCTCATCTGAGACTTGGTGGAGGCGTCGGAAGTGTTGCCACTTGCTCTCCAGCTCTGGATCCTCATCCTCATCTTTAGAGTCCGCAACAAGCCCAAGCGACTTCTCCAAAGGCTCCCAGTCCGTGCCGGTGAGACCGAGAAAATCTACGTTTTCCATAGGAGGCTCTTTCTGAACAGCTGCCACTCGACGAAGCAATGCTAAGGCGTGCCGCCACTTGCGGGACAGTTCACAGGCGCTCAGAGCAGCGCCCATGCAGACCTGATGCAAACACTTGTCGCGGGCATGTCCCAAAACAAAACCAAAATGTTCCCCTTCATGTAAATTTGGAACGCACACAATTTCAGCCCAGCCAGTCCAGGTACTTCGTCGGGGAACAGATTCCCAGCTTCTAGCTCGGCCAGTAGGCCCACCGCCAGCCACCATTTTCGTGCCTTTCCAAGAGCTGTCATGGCGGCACTATAGGCCACGACATCCGGCGGCGTGTGGTTCCTGTCCATCATGGCCAAGAGCTGCAGAACACAATCCCATAGCTTCTGTTCGCCCACGTTCCGAATGAGCGTAGTGAAGCTGACCTGGTCAGGGGGCAGATGTAGGTTTTGCATATCCTGATACAAAGCCAGAGCTGCGCGCCACTGGTGTCCTTTCTCACATGCCATTAGGGCTGCATTGTAGCTGACAATGTACGGCGCAAATTGCAAAGCGTGCATCTCCTTCAGTATGTCCAGAGCAGACTGCCACAGCTGAACTTCACCATAGGCCGAGAGCAGCACGATGTAATCTCGAGGCTTGGGAGCTCCATAGCTGCGAAGGGTCTCTGCCGCCGTGGCCACGTCTCGAGCATCCTTCCGCCCTTTTGCCGTGTATAACCGCAGAACGAGTGTTTTTCGTAACTCTGGGTTCAGCTGCCCCAGAGATGCAGCTTGTCTGCCCGCTTCACCAGCTCCATCCCGTAGCCTCCAGGCGGTCGCCATCTGAGCAACGTGATTCGCCTCCAACCTCCGAGTCACCATCTTCTTCAGCAAGTCCAATGCCTTCTGCCATTGCCCAGCTTTCTCGCAGGCCATAGTGACCCAACCATGGTCTCTCTGCCATTGCGGCACAGATGGCTGCAAATCTCGGAGTTGCAACTCCTGCAGAAGAACGGTGGCTTCTGCCCAGTTGCTCTTTGTCACCACCATCAGCCTCTGGAAATCCCGCAGTGTAAGTGTGCCAGCCTTCCCCTGTAAAAGGTAGTGGATCACTGGGGTGAGGCTCTGCTGCTGTGCCTCATCATGGAGCAATGCTCGGATAAGCGCATTCCGCAGCTTCTCCCGTTGCACAGAGTCCATGGCCGGCATAAATAAACACGCGAGGCCTGGTTACTGCACCATGTCCCTAGATGGAGGAATAAAAGCTCTGTGACACCTCTCCTGACCTCAATGTTTAACAGCTGTAGGCAGCACTGACTGAGTTGAATTTGGTTCTGGCAGATCTGGGCGTAACGAACATATCATGAACATGTCCATGGGTCAATTCCCTGCAATATTGCCCAATCGCAAGTGGCGTGCCACTCTTTCCACGTCAATCACTGCTTCCCTCGCTGAGGTATGCAAGGGGATCCTGAAACAGTCATGCCGCAATATGATTTCAGAAGTGCTGTCCAAATCTTGAAACTCAATTGCCGTCCTGCGCTCCCAAGCTGCCTCCAACCTCCTCCTGGCAGCACTCGTCACATCGGCTTTGCCTCGAGCTGGGGCAGCCCACCGTCTTCTGCACTCTTGCTAGAAAGGCAAGGTGCTCTGCCGGCCGACTGGCTTCGACTTGATCAAGCTTGCGGCGCCTTGGTCCATGCAACTTTCATGTCAAGCTGAACTCTCTGAGCGCTTAGTACTGCACTTGGCAGCGTGATCTAGCCGATCCTGCCATTCCGCCTTAGCATGCTCACTTCAAGCATTTCAAAAATGGCTTGGCTTTGTTGAGTCTCCCTGCACGTTGCAGTGTCCAACATCCCTCCATGCACTGTGTCGCAGTGAGTCCGAGATGAGTGTTTGGCAGGTCTGCGCCCGTTATTAGTAGGCTGAAAGGGACAATGCAAAAGCTGAATGCGACTCCGCTGGATCTTCCCTGCTTGTTTTCTTGATGCTGCTCAGCGGAAAACGAGTGGTCAGCCTGTCCAATACACCAAAGCTGTTGCTCGTGCCCGCGTGCTGCCAGTGTGGAACCCTCACCCAAATTGCAGACACCGGAGCAACACCTTCGGAAAATCAACAGGCCTTTGAACACAAACCGCAGCTGAACAAGCCAGCTAATGGGCTTGTGACGTTAGCACATCGATTCCTGACTCACAGTGTCATGTGGGATCGATCCTCAGCTGGCACGCACCGTGCAAGCACATTTGCAACATAACGTAGCAGGGCAATGGACGCCAAGATTCGAAAGAAACCGCAGGGTGACCGGCCGTCTTTCATTTATGAGGCCCAGGACAGCCGGACGCTCCCATTTTGTCACGTCCTGACAGCGAACTAGACTAAAAAAGGAGGGTGCTGATTTCTCGCCGAGCATCATCAAGAATGCTGGTCTAGCATGTCCCTCACTTGTGCACTCACGCCATGCAAAATTGGTGCAAAATAGACAAGTTCTGCAAATACGTTAATCATCAGTGTGTGTCTTTCCAACCCTGTCGCGAAGCTGCACAAAGAAGCCCTTCTTGTGCAAGCCGCTTCAGATAGTCATCTAAAATTCAACCCTGGCCCTTCGCGTGTTGGCAGAGTGATTTGGGCACCCCGAGTTGTGGGTGATCCCATGGGCTGCCAGTCCTGTCCATTCACTGATGTGATCACGTCACCTCAGCATGGCACAGGACAAAAACATGCTTTCCATCCCAGGCATTCACAGATAGCAGTAAGTGCTGAGCTATTCATGTGGATTCTCTCAACTCATTTACATGTATGGATGTAGGTGTTGTCTTCAAATCGCAAGTACCAGCCTGGCTTCTTCTAGCTACCCAAAAGAGCGAAGTCAACACGACTTGAACAAGGGACGAGGGTGCGACTGTGGTCTGCGTGCGCTGTCTGTGTTTACATAGCTTCGCGCAAACAAATGAGGGTCGTGCCCACCCGCACACGGCCACTTGCTTCTGCAGGGCCTGCCTCTGGAGGTCGCCCTGAGTTCTGTACAACGTTTTTGAAGCCTGAGCTGCAGGAGCATAGATCTAGCTGGAGAGTTCAGCAAACAACTCGCAAGAAACAAGAATGCATGCATGCGAGCTAAGGTTGTCTCCAACCACTCGCAGCGGCAGGTCCTTGCTCACAGTCAGACCGATCTGCTGCTCGTAGATGACCTGCAACTTTTAGTGGCGTGCTTCAAGACCAATGCTGTGATGCTTGGCAAATAAAGATTTCCCAGACTGCAAAGCCGCTACAAGTAGAACTTAGGACCTGGCTATGTCGTAAGACGTGGCAGGCAGCAAGCACTCAAAGCCCGCAATGAGGCTGTGGTTGCCAGGTAGGGAGTCGTCGGATACTTTGTCCTTAGCAAAACCACGCACCACACCTCTCAAGTGCTGGCAGGAATCCTAGGTTTGCTCCAAGCAACCACAGAAACTGAACCATCCGGCTGCAGGCTGAGGTATTTGTCCTTCCCGTGCAGTCTCAAAGCAAAGCTGTATGACCTGGCAGCGTTGCCAAGTCCATCATGCTCCGCGACTCTGCGAAGCAAAACAAGCCAACGTTCAATACGAGAGCATCGGGCTTCTCACGCAAGCTGACTCTGTGGGAAAATGCTGAGCCGAGGCCAGCGCTCATTGCCAGCGCCCCCTTAGCAACGAGCGAGGCCATGGTCCCGTGGTATCTTATCTTCAAAGCAGGATTGTGTGCAATTTCCTTTCATCTGCTCACTGCAGTGCTATGCGCAGGTTGCGTGAAAGCCTACAAAGAGCTCGGTGGCAGAGTGACGTGGCATGACGTGGTAAAGGGAGAACTCCCGCTCCAAGCCACGAATGGTATGAGTTGGGTCCGGTCATGGATACGCGGTAAATAGCCCAGAATGAAACTGAACGAGCTGATGCTCATGACGCTGATTGCGTTTCCGCGCAGAACTCCAAAGGCGTCAGCAAATGCTCATGATGCTGGGTGTTGGCAATGTTCAAACCAGCGGATGCGCGTCATGCGGCACAGGCCCACGAGGATTCAGCTGATACTTAGCATGTTCCATCAAACCTTGAAAAGTATGAGCTGAAGCTCATGATGCTGGCTACGTTTCGGGGCAGGGCCGCAGAGAAACCGGTGTATACTCTGCAAACATACGCATAGTTTCTAATGATGCTGGGCTCCTTCGGGGCCCGGCCCCGAAGAATACGTGGATGACTTTTCTCACACAAACACTGGCGGCAACAACCAGAAACCAACCAGCTCATGACGCCATCGCCTGCCCACCCCCCCTGACAGAAACTTGCGTATGCTGTTTGGCCACAGGGCTCGGAATGAAGGACTCAGCTGACACGAATCATGCTACATTCAAGTGCTACCA